GCCCCAAAACTGAGCCCTGGGGAACACCGCTCATGACCAGCCGCCAACTGGATGTAACTCCATTCCCTACAACTCTCTGGGCCCAGCCGTCCAGCCAGTTTTTTACCCAGCGCAGAGTACACCTGTCTAAGCCATGAGCCGCCAGCTTCTCTAGGAGAATGCTGTGGGAGACAGTGTCAAAGGCCTTACTGAAGTCCAGGTAGACACATCCACAGCCTTTCCCTCGTCCACTAGGCGGGTCACCTGGTCATAGAAGGAGATCAGGTTGGTCAAGCAGGACCTGCCTGTCATGAATCCATGCTGGCTGGGCCTGATCCCAGTTGGGAGTGCAACTCCCAACTTAGGGGATCAAGTCCTTCTCTGATCTCTTTTGCAGAGAGTGTAAGAACTCAGGGGAGTATGCTTCATGTGGTGGGTCTCATTGATTTCTGTTAAGAATGAACCGGCACTTCAGTTTTTTAGAGATTTGGCTGAGGAAGGTTGCACATGGAACTGTTTAAAAATGGCATGAAAATTTTGGAAGTACAGAGTGTTTGGGACCTTTCTCATCCACGTTTTAGAAAGTAGGGCTTTTTAATGTAAATATGTCATTTGCTTTCAAAGACTTAAAGCATCGGTGCTCTTCGCATGTTTCTATTTTTATTTTACAACAACAAATAGATCAGAGGAAGTCGTTTTTAAAGCTTTTAACTGATAACATTTCTTTCATAATTAACATGTGGATTATTTTCTTTTTTAGTCTTATCGTTTTACAAGATATATATCTCTTACTCTTCTCCTGGTTTATTTGATAACAGGGAATAAGGCTGTTATCCAGTTATCAAACATGGTTTTACGTGTGTGTTTATGACTTTGTATAGATGTGGGGAAGAGAGCGTTCTGTTTAAAAGTTTTTATTTAACTTTTAAAGTTAAATATAATATTTAACTTTTAAGTTTACTTAACTTCTAAAACTTCTAGGAAGTGTTAATTCATAATTGCCATTGGGTTTAATGGTTTTCTGCAACATACTTTCACAGCAAACCCTTAGAAGAATGTGTTACCTTACTATCAAAGAGATGGCCAGTATTTCTGAGGACGTCATCATTGTCACAAGCAGGTAGCAGAACCTACAGAAAACAGTTTCAGAGCTCTGAAACAAGTAGCTGCATCTTAATGTGTTTGGTTTAGCTGCTATGGTTTTCTCTAATTATGCTTTATAAAGGATAGAGCAAGGGAAAACAAATTGTTCCATGATACAGAGTATGTGTCACCATATGAAATGTTAATTTCTTCCTACTGTGTTATTAGGCTTTTCTAAAAAAACAAGAGGCTTGCCTACAGTTTATCAATCAGTTGCTACTTTGTTTTCTTGTTTGTTTTGGTTTGGTTTTAAATTATTGGTGCTTGATGGTTTGGTGAAAACCTAGGCTGTGACTTCTGTTTCCCTTTGCTGTCAGAGCAGTTAGGGAAAAGCAGAGCAAAGCTCAGTTCAGTCCACCAACTGAACTATCAAATTTTTTGACTGCGGAATAGACATTACAGTTGTTGCGAGAGCAAAAATTGGATCTGGGGCATGTGCTAAGCGATTGTTTTATTTTATATTTTTTTACAGCTGTTCAGCAAACTAAACTTCGCTGTTATCTAAACCAAAATTCCATGTGGTAGAAAGAACACCACCACTAAGAAGCAGAATGGCTGAGCTAAATAAACCAGGCCTCTGGCAAAGCAATATTATGGACTATGCATTTTGTAATGTTCTGTATTTCCACAGAATCTGATATTAATATTTTTCAAATAGCTAATTATTAAGAAGTTGTTTCTAGCCAATACTAGACCTTAGTGGTTATGTGGTAACAGCTGGAAGAACAGCTAAATGAGATGAGGTGAATGTCACAAAAGGACCAAGACATCGCGATATTAAAGAAGTGTTAACGGGGTGTCTTTGATTATTTTAGTTTGACCAAAGACATGACAGGGAAGGAAGACGTATACCGAGGCCCGGCCATCAGAGCGCTCTGCAGGATCACTGATGTAAGTACAAATCACATCGCTGTTGTGGGAGAGATGATGAGTGTATTTAAAATAGAAAAACTACTGGCTTGCAGGGTGTGTTCTTACAGTAGTACTGGAACTGCTGCTTTAGGGAGGGCTGCTCTGAAGCCCTCTGCAGATGTGAGGAACTCTGTAGAGCTGTAGCACTGTAAACATGGAGTTTGAAGGCAGGAGCTTTGGAGCTCTAGTTTCTGATCTGAGATGGCTTTGTTGTAGACTTCGATCGTGTCAATGAAACTTTGGGACTGGGCAGCTGATACACATGTCTCCCTTGCAGAAGTATGCGTTTTCAGAATTAGTTCAAGGTTTTTTCTGAGGGCCTTTTGAATATGCTGTGTGTATATTTTTGCCTTATACTGCTTTTATGCTATGCCTCCAAAGTATCAACACTTTTCTTTTTCACAGGGTACGATGTTACAAGCTATCGAGAGATACATGAAGCAAGCCATTGTGGACAAAGTCCCCAGTGTGTCTAGTTCTGCACTGGTGTCTTCCTTAGTAAGTAAAGCAGTAGATTATCGTAAATCTGTGCACTGTGTTGTGGCTGGGAAGGCTGGTCTGCTGCATGCGTAGCTCTGCCTGGCCTTTGTTTTGTTCTTTCTTCATCTCCTTTTCCTTTGATATGACTCTTCTTCATCTCCTCCCTGGAAAATAAACAAAAAATAGTAGCAACAGAGTTTCCTTTGTCTCAAGCAGACTCTGTCATCTCAAACTCCTTCCTTAATGTTCTGTCGCTTTAGAGTACATCAACTGTAATAACTTTAAGTGCAAAGTGCTCAGTCATCTCTCTATGCAGTTAGTGTAGAACATTAATTTCTCTGGGGAGGGGCCTTGTCTGTTTTGAAAAGTCAAGCACACTGATGACCATGAAAGAGCTTACAAGTTTGTTGAGAGTAAGTAGAAACAACCTGTTCTGTGCTGTGGAAGAACTAATACTGATGACTGTGAAAGAGCATATGAGTTCTGTAACAGGAACTAAAAGCAGTCTGCTTTGTGTTCTGCAAAAAAACAAATCCATGAAATTGCTGCCCTGGTAAGACTGCAAATCAAGATTATTTTTGTTCATACGTAGTAGGAGGGCTAGATGTAGAAGTTCACTTTGTTTTTCTCTCCCTTGTTTAGGAGAAAAGGCTGGAAAAGATCTTGCTAGGTCAATATTTTTATTAAAGAGGAGAATACAAGTGAAAGCATGGTAGTCTGAGACTGAGATGTAAGAAAAACAGTGGTTTATAGGTGCATAGGATAAAGAGACTGGCTGCATTGGTAAATCAAGGAGGCAGAGCAGGAGGTAAGAGGTCCAGCTGATGAGGTGGAGTAGGGCCTGTGTTAGGACCCTGAGGGTGCAAACAAAGCTGTATTAATACTGACAACCTGCTGGACTAATCGTAGGCAGGTGAATTGTCCTGGTATTGTCTTTTGTCCTGTTTGAACATAAACAGAAACTTTCCAAGTTACTTTTCTCTTTATTGAAACAAGTGCATCCATACAAACTACGTATTTGGGAGTTATCTTTGTTACCTGTAGTATGCAACAAAGCCCTGGATTGTCTTAAAGACTTTAAACTTAAAAGCCGAAAACAGGGCTCATGGTACTTCACTGTGCTTCTCATGTTAGTTTGTCTGCAGTCTCAATTTGTGGCTTCTTCCAGCATATGATGAAGATCAGTTATGACGTAGTCAAACGGTGGATCAACGAAGCTCAAGAAGCAGCTTCTAGTGACAACGTCATGGTGCAGGTATGTTTGAGGGTGATTGCCTCAGGAAGCTCTAAACACACTACAGGGTTTTAATGGTGTTCTGTGAGTTCTTAAGGTAATCTTAGGAAAGGTAACTGGTTTTCCTTTTTCCCTTATTCTTTTAAAAACAAGAATTGTGACTTGAGGGAAACGACTCAACTGTTTCAAAAAATCATGAGTTCTTCCATGATCCCAGTGCAAGATTCTTAATTAAGAGTTGGCTCTTTAGTGCAGTCCTCTGCCCTTTCCCTGCTAACCTTCTGATAGCTGGGATGCCACTGACTGTTTCACAGTAATTGTTGCAGAAGGGCTTTGAATCTGAGTTTTCAAAAAGCTCAAGAAATTAATCTCACTACCTCCCAGCACACCAGCATCTCTTGTCTTGGCCTTCAGAAAACTTGCCAGTTGCTGCAAGACCACAGAGGTTAGCCCAAATATCAGTAAGATACCTGTCTTAGCAAAAAATCTTTGCACAAATATTCCAAACAGGTGTGGAAATGAAAGTATTCGGTATGTTCAGTCAGTGTTACAGACTGAACGATCAGAAACAAATCTGTAAAATTAGCTTTGTTCTTGCCCATTTAGCAGCTTCATTAAGCCTTACTGTGAATCAGTCTTACGGCAAAAAAAAAAAACCACAAAGCAACTTGGCAAGCAACTAGAAATGTTCCTTTGTGCTTTCACCATAAATGCCTCAAGGATTTTTGTAAGGTCAGCTGTGATTTAAAGGCCTTGGGATATCCTGGATGTTGAGTGTACTAGAAATGCAAATGTTACTGTGCAGTATAATTTAGTAAGCTGAAGCCTTTGAAGTTCTGACATTTAAGGGGGAGAAAGGGAGTAAACTAACTTCATGGCTCTTTTGATCTTCAGAAATATGTTGAGGCTGTCTTACGGTGGACAGGAAGGGGAAGGAAATACTGCAGATCTTTGTAACTTGTCAGGAAACTCAGATCGTTTGAGGTTAGAAGGTATTTCTGCTAGGAAACAGCAATTATTAGCCCTTTTTTATGTCTTACAGTCTGGCTTTTTCAACTGCAGTGTGTATTCAATACCTGCACATCTGTTTCTGATTTCCTAGTACCATGCTTTGGGGCTGCTCTATCACCTTAGAAAAAACGATCGCCTTGCGGTTTCCAAGATGTTGAATAAGTTCACTAAATCTGGACTGAAATCCCAGTTTGCATACTGCATGCTGATCCGAATTGCAAGCAAACTCTTGAAGGAATCTGAAGAGGGGTAAGTAAGAGGCAGCGTGTGAATTACAAAACTAATTAGAGTTTGACGTAAACGGTAGCTAGGAAATTGGCATTTTTAAAAGTCTGTGGAAATCTACACACAGACGGAGAGAACTGTAGTGTTAAAATGCAGGTAGAAGCAGAATGCTAGACTGAACTGAGCGGTGGTGTGTGTGGCAGTTGTCTGGTGGGGTGTGGACTTTTGTTTTGGCACTATACCACCAAAACTTAGCTGAGAGTAGGATTAAAACTGCAGAATAACCTCTGGAGAGGTTTTGTACTTTGTCTAGTTAGATACATTTCAAATGCAATAAGGATCTACCTACGTTGTGGGGATATAAATAAAAGGATCTCTCCTGATCTTGCACTAGCAGAGGATGGTATAGTTACCTGAGAAATACGCCTCCTGATTAAATTCTTTTATCAGTGGAAACTTTTGTTAGTGGTGTGCGGTACATGATTAATATTAAAGTATGTATTTCTGGAGTGCAGCATTTCTAGCTTGACGAAGGTAATGTGAAGATGAATAGAGTAACAGTAAACAGAAAGTTTAGAGCTCAAGTATGAGTTGAGAAATATGGCGGTGTAGGAAACATGAAAGCGCATTAGCTGTGCTTTCTGTCAAGTTCTCAGAAATGTGCTATTAGTGGTTTGTATGTAATTCAGCATCATGCTGTGAAATGTCTTCTGTTTGTAGCCATGAAAGTCCACTGTTTGACTTCATTGAGAGCTGTCTGCGGAATAAGCATGAAATGGTTATTTACGAAGCTGCTTCTGCAATTATCCATCTCCCAAACTGCACAGCCAGGGAGCTGGCGCCTGCTGTTTCAGGTTGGTCATAGAGTCCTTTGTAGCAGTGATGCGGCTGAAAGAGGTTGGTAAAGCACATCAGAGACAATACAGCATAATGAAAATACTGGACTCAAAACCTGAATTTTCTGGTTGTCCCCAAGTTAGAGGGCTTTTGGATGAGAAGCAGCCTGGTCCCTTTTTCCCATTTCATCCAAAGCATTTTTGGGCCTCTCACTACAAGAAGGATGTCGAGGTGCTGGAGCGTGTCCAGAGAAGGGCAACGAGGCTGGTGAGGGGTCTGGAGAACAAGTCTGATGAGGAGCGGCTGAGGGAACTGGGACTGTTTAGCCTGGAGAAGAGGAGGCTGAGGGGAGACCTCAT